CCCCAACCACGCCTGGACCCTCACGTCGGTGCACCTAGGCCTCGGCCCCGGCGTCAACGCCAGCACCAGCACCGAATTCACCACCACCCTCGTCGCCGACTTCAACCACACCGGCGCCGGCCTGCTCTGTCTCCCCCAGATCCCCCTCCCCGCGGACCTTGAGGTCGTGGCGGGAATGAGAACGCAAGCATGCAGATCGTGCAGGTGACCGATGAAGGCGACGCGCTGTACAATGTGAGTTTTTGAGACGTTCATTTGTTTTTGTTTTTTTTTGGGGCGGGACGGAACGGTCTTTTTCTGCGTAAGAGATTACGAGTCTGGGTGGTGGGGCTGATACAGATGGGAAAAAATAGTGCGCAGATATCACTTTCGCTGCAGACGCCGTTCTGCTCCAGGGCAGCGATTGTATCAACTCTACCGGTGTCGGTGAGGCGCGCCTAGACGGTGGGGTTGCCAGTGGGGAGGGCGGAAGCATGGTGAGTGGCGCGGGGGAGAAATTGGTCGTGACGTTGCGTGCTGCGTGGTTGGTTTTGGTGGGAATGGGAATGGGAATGGGAACTGGAATCTTGGGAGTTGGTGGGCTCATTTGAGGCTATGTAGTGTAGGTATGTAGGTAGGTAGTTGGATAAGGGCGTGTAATATGGTTGTGTTGCTCAATCACTGATCGATCGTTGAACACAATTCAAATCTGCTGCCATGTATTCATACTCTTTCCTGTTCAGGTTTATCATTTGGGATGCCCGGAAGGGGTAAGATGCCTTGTCCTGGATGATCTTGCGAAGTATATCATTCTATTCATTCTAGGTCTAGACGTAGCTAAACACTGGTTCTATGGTCGATCTACGAGTCCCCGCCAAAGCCAAAGCGATGCATCCAATTGAGCTCATCCGCCTGCCTCTCCAGCACTCTCCTCATCCTCCTATCGTATTCGCGAGCCTTCTCTTCCAGATCGTCCTGCCCGCCACCCTCCCCTCCTACGCCCTCATCCCCCACCATCCTCGGCCCCACGAACCCGTCAAATGTCCTCACCACATCCTCCTTTCCTCCATGCCCTTCTTCTGCATCGTAAAACTCCTCGTTCCTCCCAAAGCTCACCAAACCCACCCGCTCCCCCGTCCAAACCAGCAGATCATCCGCCTCCCCGGTCCCGGTGGGGATGATCTTTCTCACCACCTCCTCGCTTTCTTCGAATTTTTCCATCTTGCGATTGCTGCTGCCGCTGCTACTGCTTGCCCTTTCACCCATTCTCGGAAAGGACTCTTGATGCAGTTGGTAGGAATTGATGTTCCACCTTCGCGCTATGCTCTTCCCATCCCTTTCGACCCACTTCAGTCCGCCATCTGCGTCGGAGAAGACGATACGCGTGCCTTGGGTGGCGACGGAGAGAAGTTTGGCTGAGGAGATGTTTTGTCGGTTTTGGTACGAGTAGATTCTTGGTTGGGTTTGGGTGGTGATAGCAGGATTGCTGTTTTCTGCGGCGGTTGCGGTACTAGTGCTCTCCAACGGGTCTGATCCGGAAGACGTGATGTCGGACCAGGAAGTTGTGGGCATGGGAGACATACCGTTGGACGAGGAATCTGACGAAACGTGCCAAGTATTATGAGGGACAGAATAGAGCTCTAATGAACCGCGGCCGTTGTATTCGCCGCATGAGATGAGCGTGCCTCGAGGCTCAGTGGTGGAAGAATCTTTGATGCCGCGAGGTGAGAAGGGGAGATATGCTAGAGCTGAGAGGCGCGCGCTGGAGTGAATCACGTATTCTAGGCGAGGGAAGTATCTGCGGTCGTAGTTGAGAATGCTAGGGAAGCGGCCTGCTACCATGACGGAGTGGTCTGTCTGGTGGAGGATAGAAAGTGGAGCAGGCTCCAGTGGTGCATACGAGACCAGATTTCTCCTACCTTGTATGGAAGGAGTAGGAGATGAAGCTGGAGATTGCGATTGAGAAGCGTGGTCAGTTGATCTGAAGCTATCCAAAGGATGGATCTGAAATCTCCTTGCCGGATGGATGTTGCGTTCGACGTCCTTGTTGGGGAAAAATGCAACTGAATCTACCAGATCTGTATGCAATCCCGGTGATGAGGACGTGTCTCTAGCCGGACTTCGGGGGTCCAGAATGTGAAGACTGAAGCTCGTTCCGACGGTCAAGGGCTGATATGGACTCTGAATTGGGGAGAGTGCTGTGATGGGCCAGGCATATTTGGCTTGTGAGACCACTTGAAGGGTTGGAAGGTCTACCTCACTGAGTAGATCCCCAACCGCCAAATATGCGCGCTTTCGAGACTGGTCGATGCTGATACAATCTGTGACACCGGAAAGCGGCAAGGCTCTTTTTGCTGCAGATTGAGATGATGCACTCGTGGCGGTAGAGTGGCTAAACACGATACCTGGCGGACTCTGGACCGAGTTCTGACATACTTGACGATGCCGCGAAGGTGCTCCTTCTTTTCGCTTAAAATCCCAGACACAAAGGCTTCCATCCTCTAACGGTCCCACAAGCTTCCTCCCAGCATCATCTTCTAACAGAGCAACACCCCGTATGTCCTGATAGCTCGAGCTCTGCGGACTAAGCCAGGTGGCGGAGAGTTGTGCATGGCGTGCAATATACTCAGAATACCAATCGACCTTCTCTGACGGGTCTGAAAGATCCCACTCATCTGCGGCTCGTGCCTTGCTGCTCATGCATGTATGCTCACTGGAGGATTTCTGGTCGCCAACAAGGGCTTGAGTAAGAGCTTGCGTCCACGACTTGTGGCCTATTCGGTTAATGGTGGCCTTGGGGGAATCATAGTAGCATTGAAAGCGCCATAATGAGCCGTCTCGTGCTAATGTGAGAAAGCGCCTTGATACTGCCTGTAGAAGCACGATTTCGGTCGGTGTAAGATCTGAGAGAGACGTTAGTATCCTAGGAAATGGCGCATGCAGATACGTACAGTCCAAGATGTGGTTAATGAGTTCGTCTGGCAGCTTCTCCATTGGGGTTAGATGAAATGGCTTCAAGGAGTAGGAAATGGTCAGCAAAGGTGCTGTTCGGAGACCACAATCTTTCTCTGCCGATGGCACCGAGGGATGGAGACTAGGACGAGGTGAATGACGGTGCTGAAACCTGACGGCCTATACATGGCCAACCTCAGTAACATATGAGGTACCATATGATAGTTGCCTGCGGCAATACTTCGGCCTCAGAACTCGGAGCGTAGAATGACCTGGATGGAGGTGATTGGGTAGAATAGACACGTGTGGTGATGGCAGAGCTACTCTCTTCCCAATGCTGCGATGAAAGGATGCTGTTCTGTATGACCGAACCGACTTTCAGCACTGCTGATGAAGGGGAGAGAGAGAGAGAGAATGCTGGAAATAGGGGAAACTAGTACTATTGGCCATAAATACAACTACTACTGAAATTAAATCATGCTTTGTATATTCAAAGACATTGGTGGCCGGGTTTCTACATTACAATGCAGCGACCTGCTCTCCATTTTTTCCCATCACGAGCTCGCTCATCAGCCTCTTTATCAGCTCTGCGTTGTTTCCTACTCTTCGCTGCTTTGGGATCCGTTGCAACTCTCCTCTGCTGCGCGGCAGCGATGGACTCCATTAGATGTGGTCGATCCATCATAACCTGGGACCTACTCCTTGCTCGCTCTTGGGGAGGTACCGATCGTACGCTCTCGATCGTCTCCAGACGATCATATCTGGGGCGTGAAGAAAGCAAGCTTGGTGTAGATGCCGACCGCTGACTGCCACGGGAGTTGTTCCTCGACAGGGTTTGGGGAGATCTGCTTGCCTTGTTGAAAGACGGGGATCCAGGCACTCCAGCGGCACCCCAAGCTGCACGAGGAGGAGATGGGGGCACAACAGCAAAGTCTTGGCCCGAAACACCCCCCATACGATGCTGAGAAGTGTTGATGGGAACGGGTCGACGGCGAGTCTGAGATACACGCTTGTTCAGATTAGCCAACTGATCTGATGTTGGCGGTGGGAGAGTGAAAGGTTCGCTGTCGCTATTAGGACTAGGACGAAGTAGCGTCGGAGACGGTCGTTTTCCGACTTGCAAAGATGTCGGAATGTAAGTTGCGCTCGCCTCCTGACTCAACTGAGAAGGTCTTGGTGGTACAGGGTGGTTGAGTCGGTTTTGAAGGTTGGCTCCTGTTAATGTGGTGGGAGAATTGCCCTCCTTGACAGAAGAAGCAGGTGGTGTGATGGACGAGACGTCTGATGGAGCAACATAAGGTGCTGCTAATTCTCCGGGAGATCTTGGTGGGTGTGGAAGATCAGGCATCGGTGACAGGATGTTCGCAGCCATTCGGATGGATGACTCCGAAGTTTGTCTCCCAGGTGCCCAAGTAGACCTGGGTGAGGAGAGAGGGCTCACGGAAGATGCGAGAGACTGTATCCTCGAGAAATGCTCACTTCTTCGACGAGGACTTGGGGCAGGACTGGGACCGGGTGTATCAAATGAGGCATCGCTTAGACCTCTATGATGACGTCCATTCAGATCGTTCAGATTGCTTGTCTCACGGTAGGGCGCTGACGGTCCGGTGAGCTCTCCAGAGGTTGTGCTGGCACGCCGTGGTGAGATCAATGCTTGAGCTGATCTGTGTAGCGGCTCAGTAAATGTCCTGGCCGCCATCTGAAGTTCTCCCGAATCAGATAAAGCACGGTCTGGATTTTGTGAGTACGGGGGCGGAGGTTCCCAATCGTCTACCACTGCCTCGTGTGGTTCCCTTCGCTCATTCGTGCGTCTATACACAACATGTCCAGAGGCAGCGCCCTGACTCGAGTCTAGTGGTGGACGGGGAGGATATCGTGCACGGCTGACACCCGTAGACGTGACCGCACGTTGAAGGCTCTCTCGCGATTTGCCTATGCTGCGACGAGAACGATTGCCATTTGTAGCCGCTCCATCGCCTGCACTCGGTCCATCCACAGGTGACGATGGCTGAGACACGCTGCCTCTCGACCCTGCATCTTCAAAATGCGTGCTCATCCGTGCCAATGGAGAGATTAAACCAGTCGTTGAGCTACCAAGGCTCAACCGCCGCGATCCGCCAACGGCTTCTCGAATACTCCGACGCCTGACTAGGGCAACCTCGGCGTCCAGGTTCCGTCGCTGCTCTGGAAGCATTTCGGGTGTCTTCTCCCCAACTTCAATAGTTATGGTTCGCTTTTTCCGGCCCCGGGGAGCATAATCAAAGTCCAGCAGAAGAATCCTACCGCCATCTACAGGCATGATCTCTTCGCCAAGTTCTTCCGCAAACTCACTGACGCCTCCAGGTGCTACTACTGCCAGTCTTCTCCTTATTTGCTTCGTCCCGGCCGTGTTGGAATTCTCAACCCATATCAGCCCTACTGCGTCCTGGAGAGCAGGCAGCTGCCGAGATCTCACAAACAGACTCTGTCGCCAGTCTACGCTACCTGACAAGAAATCGTCCTCGATTGTCTCTGTCTCGGAGATTGGAGGTGAGTAGGCCATCAAGGGTTCGCGATATCCCGTTGCCGAAGTCAACGACATGGGCCATCTCCGGTTCGAGCGTTCCTCCCGTTCAAGAACATGGCGCATATCGGGTGCATTGTCGACTCGTTCGGGAATCCCGTAGATGAACAGACCCAGCCCGGCAAATCCCGCCACTGCCAATTCGCCACTCAGATTGATAGATGGTAGCATGTTGGGTAAGGCAATGCTGTGCCGATGTGGGTTTGGCCCAAGGAAGTATGCCACTCCAGTTCTGGTATCATCGGCTCGAACGGCACGGTAGGTGTTCAGAGACCGATCATAGACAAATAGCCAATTGATATCTCCCTCGCCGTGGGAGTTTAAAAGTGCTGCGTGACTGCAGGTCGAGCTGTTTTGCGGAAAGAGTATCTGTGTGGTCCACATACGACTGTGCAGAATGCTTGTCGTAAGGTCGGGGTCGTTCTCGGAGTAGAAAGGAGCGGTGATTATCACGGTGTTCGAATCATCGGTGTCATGCGAGCTGCCGATGAGCATTGACCCATCAGACGAAAAGGACAAGGAATCTACCGCTTCGCATCTGACTGCTCTCCTGTCGGTCGATAGCGCATTTGCGGCTAGGGAGAAGACCTCAACTCCTCCTTCGTAAGCGGCTGCTAGCACTGTACCCTCATTCGCAAGTGCTATTGTTCTTGGTGGATTGTCCAGTATGATGATCTGTAAATGGTTGACACCGGCCGAAGTCAGGCCGTATATGTTCGCCTGATGTTTTGTCGACAGCACCGCCAGCAGGGATCCATCGTTTGTGACGGCAGCGGTTTCAGGTCTTCTCATGGTCTTCAACTCTCGTGTCACCGCCAGAGGCTCCGAGAGCAGATCTACAAGGAAGATTCTCGAAGAGCTTAAGGCCAGCAGGGTCTGACCATGACTGGAGAAGATAAACCGTAGAGCCTCGCCACGAGGGAAAGCCGCTGAAGAGCTGGCACTGGTAGAGATGAGGTTCACTAGGGTCTCAGAAGGTTGCATGAACGCATCAAATAGATTTCGTCGTACTTCTTGCGCAAACTTTGCCTTTAACCATGTCAGATCATTCAGCCTCGATGATCCAGTGATGACATCGTGTGCCAATGCATACGACGGACATCTGGACAGATGATGGGCATATAGCGCTGCATCTTGGGAGACCAGATTCCACTGGCGATTAAGGAAAACTAGTGATGCGAAAGTATTCGAGTCTGATAACCATAATATTCTGTTTTCGATCGTTAGCAAACCTGGTCAGCTCATCCTTTGATCAACACAAGGCTGATCAATTGACATTACACAGAGACATACAATTCAATGACTTCTGTGGGCAATCTGGCAAAGATAGCAGCTGTCCTTGGTGATATGCTGCCATGCTGGGCAATTGACGGTCGATCCGCCCTACACTTCGAAGTTACTCGATGAGGCAGACTATCATCCGAGTGAGATTCTAATGGTCTTGGGGATATTGCACGTTCATCGAGACTCGAGGTCTCGACAGGCATAGCAGCGACGACGCGCCCTTTCTCCATGATAGCCGAAGTGCACCATGCTATGGAAAGAGATTGGAACGAGCTTGCGAGTTTCTCGAGGTGACGAGCCTTCTATCACACATATCCATGGCGGGGAGCTCTACCTCTCCAGCATCAAGCTCTTGACACCAGAAGGACCAAGCTGAAACTCATGCAAGTGCTTGAAGGAATGGATCTGTCCCAGAGATGCGAATATCACGAATTGATGCAGAGTGCTTGAAGATATTGAGTAGCTTGTGGCGGAGCGATTTAATCTTCAAGGAGCGGGCTGTTTCAGAAAACAGAAAGGCAGCCAAGCAGAGTGGCCCATCGTACAGCTAAGCCGTTGACTAGGGTGACTGACTAATGAGGTACCTTGATCGATTAGTATTATGTACGTGCTTAGCATAAGGTGAATGGCCAGTGACAAGCTATGTATGCAGTAAGCATGCAGGGTCAGTAGTGACCCGTGCATGTCATCCCCTGCCAGTAGTACTAATTTTGTATCATAGATCGAATTTGTGCTCGTGTACGGCGTTATGTTATTTGTTTCTACTGATCAGTTCATGCACTCTAGCTAGTACTCTAGTTAGCAGCGACTCTAAGTTAGTCACTAGTTAGTTACTAACTCCACTCCGGAACGCTGCCGGCTAAATTTCTGCCTCGGAGGAACTTCCCTTTCCAACCAAGCAGACTATGGTAATTTGTCAAGAAGTGGAACCTGCTTCTTCCAAATGTCGGTTGTGGGGCATGATATATGTTAACAAGACCTTGGATATCAGCATGGAAGGACCATATGCCATAGCTGACACCGTGTCTATTTTCTGCGACAAATACCATTTCTAGATTTGAAATTGCTCTCTTTTGTTCGGCAGACAGCTATACCTTATTGTATTAGAATGCCTTCGAAATGCAATAGACCCTTGACCTTCCTACTCTAACTAACACGATTTTTTCCAATAAGAAACTGAGATTTGTTGTCTGCTCAAGCCGGACCTGCAGAAAGAGCACGCGCACAGTGATTTAGTCGTTGCCACACATTACTTACTTAGTTGAATTGAGGCCCGCCGTACAGGTGCCGTATCTTTAATTAACTGTACTAAAGAGAATTGAGGGATGAGAGTTAGTCTACATGATAAGGTAGTACTCCGTACTACAGCTAGTACGACAGCCAATACTTCAAGTTGGGGGAAACGATTGCCAAGAGTATCACAGTCTTTGTCATCGGGATCCGAGAAGTTGTGCAGATATTGTGGTAGTTAGGCTGGAAGCGCCTCTTATCCCGGACTTGCGTTTCTTTAAGCTACGGTATGCTCCACCTATCATTTCTTTTCTCGTCGATACTGCTATTTATCCAGCCAGTACCTCAGGCCTGCTGCGCAGAGGAGAGCGAACTTGCCGTTTATCCAGAGGACCTATCATTACTCTAGCCGGTTGAACCACTTTTTTTACTTCTTTAGGGTGACGTGCTTCCTGGGCTCAAATTGTCTTTGCTACTCCGCAGGCTGTTCTCCGAGAATGCCGGCCATGAACCTGACGCCGGATGCGTTCTTCAACGATCTCGAGCAGACCGCAGGCTTGCTTGCCATTGGCTTCGAGTCTCTTCTATCTGAGGTCGAAAGTCTTGCACGTCGAGAGCAAGATCTAAAAGGCCGTCTTGACTTCGCATACGATGAGGTACGTTCAAAATTTGTTTGCTACGGGCATTCTATTCTGTCTTGCATGATGAGAAACCAAGATTAGCTCTAGATCAAGAGCTATCTTTTCGGTAGCGATGAGCGACCCATACCATGTATTATCTGATCCCTTTCCCGTGCATGCACCATATTACATATTAGCACATGGAATACACCATGCTAATCCGTGTTTATGCCTCTAGTATCGCAAGCTCGCCCTCGGTCCTGCAGCTACTGTAAATGATTCGACCAATCGAATGGATGTCCTGCAAAAGATCAAAGTGGATGACAGGTCATTTGCTTTGGTTGAGGATTCTGCGCTATCTCCAGACCACATCGCGGCACGGTATAATCTGGAGGATGCCCTTGAGGCTTGCAGGACCCTAAAAACAAAGCCAAAACCATGGAAGAGCATGCGACCACACCAGCCCGTGGCAGTAAGAAATACGAAGGATGGCGACAGTTTGGAGCGTGACTACACGTCCCGAAATGGTACACCTAGCAAACTTGAATGCCCGTTTGCGAAGATGACGAATGGGAACCCACCAAAAGAAAGCGCAGATCCTATAGCCGCTGAATTTCATGCCGATGGCTCAGTAGGATCAGGGACAGCATACGCCCAGCAAAATCCAAACAAATGTCCGATCCGTTATCTTGACCAACACTCTCCTGAAGAGGTAGCCAAATACTTCGAGAATCACAAACACGAGATCCCCCGCAGCCATGCCATCTGTATATCTACGTATCAGCAAAATGATGCGAAAATCCGAGAGCTAGATGCAAAGTATGGGAACCTGCAGAACATGATACAAAGCTTAGGGGCCAAGCATCAGCAGTATCTGCCAGTGAAGGACGGAGAGGAGGGTGCACAGAAACCGGCTAGCCCTCCAGCGGCAGTAGCTGTGGAGAAATGGGCGGAAATGGTCAGTGGGAGCTCTGCTGAAGCTGACGCTGACGCTGACGCTGTATCTCCATCTATTCGGCCCGGAATAGACGGCACGGGAAACGGCGAGCAACGAGGGAGGGCAGATCATTCGGACAGACCGCTACGAGAGATAAGATTGGGAGAGTCCCCAAGCAGGCCATGGGGTATATCGGTTCCAAATGCTCCGGACACGGCTGCGATTGCCATTCCCTCTGATAAAGGTATTGAGCCGCTCTCGTTAGACAGACCAAAAGGGGATGGCAAGTCAGCTACAGAGGGTGCACAAACAACTGCGAGGGCCACAGGACGATGTCCGTTTGGTCACAACGCAGGAGAGGTAGAGCTATCAAATGGAGCATCTCCTAAGGATACGAAGGCAGAGGAAAATCTGTTGAAGGAGCCGTCGCTACGCCCACAGGTGATCTTAAATGGCCCTGTTTTCGTCGGTTATTCTCCTGAGCAGATCACGGCTCTGATGCAGTCAGGTGCATTTACTCGTCGAGGCCGTAGTAGCACTAGTTGAGCAATACTATCATAAACGAACTGAGCTCTTGATCTATCAGCAGACCATGCCAGCTGCCTCCCATCCCACCATATCTACCGTGACCAACTATTGTAGCGCAATCGCCTCAATCTCAACCGGCACCCCCTTAGGCAATTGATGCACGGCTACACATGTCCGAGCCGGCTTTTGCGTAAACCATTTCTCGTACTCTGCATTCATCTCCGCGAAGTCCTTCATATCCGTCAAGAAGACCTGTAGAAAGACGGCAGATCAGCCAAACCGCCAACAAAACAATAGTCACCCACTGTCTTCTCCGAAACTCCAAGAATCGTAGTAAAGGAGACCCCTCTCCGCTCCTCCCATCCCAAACCCAAACCCCCAGTTCCAAGCCGAAGGCCAAGCAAAAGAGAGCGAAAGCGAAGGAACAGGAAATACCAACCCCAACCCTGACCACCTTCTCGATATCGCTCCCCGCCGCCTCAAGCACCGCCTTGACATTCCGACAGCACATTGCCGTCTTCTCCGCCATGGAACCCTCGATCAGCTTTCCCTCGCTATCGGCGGGGATCTGGCCCGCGACCCAGATCTGTGAGGCGGCGCGGATGGCTTGGGAATAGGGCCCTGCTGCTATAGACACCGATATATGAGTGTTAGAGGTGAGAAAAGGATTCGACGGGGGGTGGGGGAGGAGAGGGGAGTGAGGGAATGAAGTAGAAAGATGGGGGGGCCCGACTGGGCGGCCTTACGCGGACAGGCATCTTTGGTGAAAACGGGGGTCAGGTCGTTGGGATTGGACATTTTACGGGGGTGGGACGTAAAGTGTCTGTAGCTTAGAGTTGTGAGGGATGGTGGTATCAGCAGTGTTCGGGCGCTTTGGTAAAAGAATGGTCTCTGTTTGGCAATATGGATTTGGCTGAGGGAACGCAACTTTCCAGACATTCAGCAGTCAACCGGCCTAAAAGTGAGCGAGCAAGCAATCCTGCTTTACATGGTCGTGTCAAGATGGAGATCGAGGGTCAGTACGGTGGTCGGAGTGCCAAGCTCAATATTTTAGGGGTGACGATTCGGAATGCCATGAGTACCAGCATTTGATGGAAATACTTTGCTATGTTTTCGGGATAAGAAGCAGTCAATGTATGAGTGTTTGTGTCATGTTCATTCGACCTTCGTGGCTATGCAATTAGCTGTACACGCGTCCGTATAGAAAAAGCTCCCACCTTCCTGCAGGACCTGGATACGAACAATGCAAATGAACCCAACGCTTGATGCAACGACATCCATGCAACGCCTGGTGTGGTATGCTACTATGCGCCATCCATGACAGTAAGCAACACTACTGCCATCAAGCACAAACTGCACCTGAAGATGACTTTGTAGTCAGCTTGACATGACTTTGGTGTCAGCTCTTGCAGCTCTAGTCATCGATGTCCTGGTGTCTCGCAAGCACCTTTCTCGCGTACTCCTCTGGATTTTTCTCGTGAAGAGTCGCCGCTTCGCCGTTGAGTGGTGATGCACTGTAGATTTCATCAGCAATGATAGACGTTTAATATGAACTGCATTTTGTGAAACTGACTTGTTCGGCTCACCCAACAGACTTTGCAAGCTCAACAACACACTTTGCACGTTGTAGACTGCGCTCCACTTGTCCTTGAGGATATCCAAGCAGATCCGTCCGGAGAAATCGACATTGGGATGGTAGATAGGGGTCTTGAACAGCACGGTTGGGGGTGCATATGGATAGTTCGAAGGAAAAGCGAAGCTGAGCTTGAGGTTCAAGCCAGAGTAAGGTGTCTCAGTCGGTCCAGTGATGGTGGCTGTCCACGAGAGCATGTTGCCGTCGTCAGGAAAGGCGGAGATGCCAGGAGTCGGAGTGAGCATCATAGTCATCAACTCTGACTGGAGTCTGAGAAGAATCAGTATGGCACGACGAATCGTGGACTTATTTCGCATTTCAGCAGGGGATGGTTCTTACCTCTTTGTAACACTCTGCGAGTCTGCCTTCTTCGGGCCGGAGCTCAACTTGTTTGTCTCGTGCATTGTGGGTTCGCCGGGTGCTGAATTTTGGGTGTCTTCGTTGGTATAATTCATTTCCAAGGGTTGTGGTAAATATGTGTTCTGGTCACGGCCGCTTGCAGTGAAGGAAGCAGAATGCGGAGTGGCTGGAGTGGCTGGACAGCGGATTAGACAAAGAGACTATGCGGCAAGCCTGGCGAGAAAGAAGTGAACAACACCGCTGGCAGAGGAATGCGTTGTGGTAATTAATGGAGATGATTTATTATTGATATATTGTTCCAAATTGACGAAGTGATCAAGCCTTTTACTACAGAGGCAATGTAAACACAGGTCGCCCCGCCAATCACCTGGTCTAAGCGCCTTGAAGTCGCGGGTCTCCTCAAACGTGGGGCGAAAGTTTCGCGATTGCGGAGCATTGATTGACAATGATCATGTCTGCGCTGGCGCCACAATCTGAAATGCTGGACTGACGAGCGTCTACGTATCTGGGAAATCCGATATGTTAAGACTCTGGTAACACTCAGTGTATGAGAATGACTGGCACCATCGCTCATTCGCAGCTTGCACCACTCCCAGCTGAAGTACCTTTCCGAATCGTCTCGAGAACGATCGGGACTGGTGCATATGCATGGTAATAATGGCAGGCCGCATATGTCCCTTACACTGTGCTTCTACTGACTCTGCTACAGCATCAAGAAGGCCGCTCCCTTGCACAAGGACAATCCGATCTTCGCTGTCAAGTTCATCAACAAGAACTATGCCCAGCGATATGGCCGAATCAAGCCAAAGCAGATTCAGATGGAAACCACTCTGCACAAGCATGTTGGCGTCCATCAGAATATCATTGAGTTCTTCGACACTGGCGAGAATGTTGACTGGACTTGGATAGCTATGGAGCTGGCAGAGGGTGGAGATCTGTTCGACAAGATAGAAGCAGATGCTGGAGTCACCCAGGACGTTGCCCACGTCTACTTTACCCAGCTCATCAATGCTGTAGGCTACATGCATTCCAAGGGAGTTGGTCATCGAGACATCAAACCAGAGAACGTCCTACTTTCTGCAGATGGCGACCTCAAGCTCGCTGATTTCGGGATGGCTACCCTTTTCGAATACCATGGAAAGAGAAAAATGGCTGTCACGCTGTGCGGCAGTCCACCATATGTTGCTCCTGAGGTCTTATCATGTAGCAGTCAGGGTGACAAGAAGGGAAGTGGATACATGGCTGACTTGGCCGATATCTGGTCTTGCGGAGTGGTGTTATTCGTTCTGCTGGCGGGCAATACTCCGTGGAATAAACCTACCGAAGGTCTGGATGAATACGGCCAGCCGAATGAGTTCAGCGAATATATCGCGACCCAAGGCCGGCCAAACGACGAGTTGTGGCAAGGTCTGCCTGTTGAGGTGCTATCTCTACTTCGGGGCATGATGAAAATCAATACCACATCGCGCTTCTCTTTGGAAGATGTTAGAAGGCATCCATGGTTTACCAGGTCGAACAAGTTCATGGACAAGAAAGGTAGACTGACAAACCCTGTTTCTCTCGCTACAAATATGTTCGAATCACTCAAAATTAGCCTCGGGGATGATGCTTTAAGTGCAACGCAACGGTCTACCCACTCTGATGCAATGGATGTAGACCAGTCCTCACTAAAACCTATGGCGGCTTTGTCGTCGACACAGCCAACGACACCCGCGGAGGACATGCTCTTCGACTGGGAAGCACCTGCTCATCTACCAGTGTCTTCGACACAGCCAGCGAACGGCCTAGCTCATTCGTCCACTCAATCTGGTCTCACTTCAGGCTACCTTGCCGATGAGCCTTCAATGTCACAATTTGCAGCGACACCGAGCGTTCCTATGAGCAGGACCCAGATGGCTCGGCAGTTTCGAGACATTCTACCTGCGCAGAGTCTGACTCGATTCTTCTCTACATGGACTCTCAATCTGTTGGTCCCGCTGATTCTTGAAGCTCTTAGCCGGCTGGCTGTTCCCGTACCAAGCTTTCCACGGCCTTCAGCACAAGACTCGGAGTGTCAGATCAAAGTTAGGACGATCGATGGAAGATCATGCACTTTGAGCGGCAATATCACCATTTGCGTAATCTCTGATGGCGTCGTCGAGGTAATGTTCTTGAAAGCTTCGGGCGATCCACTTGAGTGGAGGAGGTTCTTCAAAAAGGTGACTGTTTTATGCAGGGATGCAGTATTCAAACCCGATGAATAGGGTTAGGAATGGGGCAAAAGTTTTGCAGGAGGTTGGATGCATAACCATGGCGCTCCTGGGTATTGAATATGGCTGCAGTTGGCAAGCGATGAGATGCCTCTGGTATAGATTCTGCTCATGTAGACGCGCACTTACATCGCAGGCAGTATGATCAATCATTGAAACACTCTTGTCGGGTCTCTTCTTCTGTATCTGTACCTGTCCAACCCCCTTATGTGCGCCTCAGGGTTATTGTTCTTTGTCATTTCGTAGTAGACCATAGAACCTGTTGTGGGTTGGGCCATTCACTTATCCCATTTCTTGATGGTCAAGTTGTTAAGGATGATAATCACTATACTACGTATACGGGGATCAAGTTTAACTCCGGCGGGCGACCTCAACCCGGCAAACCCCACCAAATGTGGAGTGCCGATGATCACCTTGACCCCGGTCGCTGGCCAGGTGATCTTTAGTTCTGAGTGGCCAACGGAGGGTCTAGGTGTTTGCACACGGGTGTCTTCCACCCCCGTTGAAGAAATGCATCAAGACACGCGAGACTTACTTCTGCTAAACCCAGTATGAGGTTTGATCCTGCTCTCGTAGCCCTTTCACACCGCCCAGGGCCGCTGGTATCTGAATGGGAAGTGTGCCTGCACAATACTCCCTCTCGATCACCGATGCTTTGACTTCTTCCGTGACGCGATGTCGTACCTATCATTTATGCCATGGACGCTTCAGAGGCGCCTCTTACGTTACCTGCTCTCGCAATTCGACTTTCTCGAGACCGATGACCTGGACCTGGAAGACCTTGGTATCAGATGGGGCCAGAGATCTATCGTTGAACTCAGGAACGTTGGCCTGAGAACATCGGTTCGTCTGACGGGTTTGAGAAAATGGATTAAGCTAAAGCTTTCGCAGAAATTGTCTTCGATACTTCCCTTGCCGACTCTCGTTAACTTCATATCGGCACGGATCTCGTACCTGAAGATAACCGTACCTGCGAATATATTAACGAGTGGTATCGAAATTGATATATCAGGCGTCAATGTCCACCTCAAGGTTGATCCAAAGGATGAGAAGGGTCATGCATTCACAAGGCCGGAGCAGCGCAAGCCGCCGGCCAGAGGCACAAAGTCAAATCGTCCGCGGACAGGGACGCCCACTGTACATGACCCGGGAGGACGGCGCACAGCACCATACCGGCCACTTGAGGACTCTCTGTTCCACCCAGACCTTGCGGTGCAACAGCTTGCCGAGTCCTTCCTACAGACAGAGTCTCAAGAGGATCGCTTAGAGCTGCAAGCGGCTATTGCGTCCCAGTCACGTCATGAACGAGAGTCCATAAGCTCTAGTATATCAAGTGAAGAAGAAGTAGGGATTGGTGCAACAGAAGGTTATACACTGCCTTCATTCGTTGCCTCCTGCTTGGCTGGCATTGCGGATCGGCTTCAGCTCCATGTGAAAGACATAGCAATACATGTCGAATTCGAACACTCCCGAGACAGTCCGAACTCCTCACGGACCAGAGATACTCGTTCAACGCTCTTTTTGCTGAATTTGTCAGAATTATGTGTACAAGGTGTTGGCCCCGTTCCGGACGACCATAGTCAGGGCACACCAAAACGAAAAGTTGTTCTACACCAGTTCAGTATTCTAGTTCTGCCGGACTCCTCAAGTGATTCCTCTGATCCGGGATCAGCGGAGACGACCTCACCTATACTCAAGCATTCAAATGCTAGTCCGCTATCTACTGCTATGGCACTGAACCCTGTTCAAGAACACGGTACAGATTTGACATTCAGCGATTCAATGGAAAGAATCAGTGACTACACTTCTGGTCTTCGCCATCCGCAGCAAATCGACCGATCGACTACCTCAAGTGACAGCGTGTTTTCAGATGAATCCTCAGCAGCGCTGCGTATTCCAGCTGGCCTGGACAATTCTCTAGATGACTCGACTCTTTTCGCTGCAACTTCACAGGAACTCCGCCTTTCAAACAGTTCTGATCAAGGGAGCCCTCCTCCTGTCCGACCTTCTTCAACGTCTGCCGACGACGTCTTTGGAGACCATGCCAAAAGAGATGCTGATGAGCCGTTGCGCCACGACCAGATTCTCAACAGCAGGCGCATATCCAGTCCTGGCAGCATTGATAACCAGGTGTACGCAGAATCTTTGGCTAAATCTGGCCAGTCTGCTTCGGAAATGGAGGACGCCATTAGTGGTGATCTGCCCGTCGAAGATCTAACCGAATCGAAGATCTTCACGCATGATGAAGCAGAATCCATGTACATGAGCGCTCTAAGCGTAAACCTAGATTCTCCAGGAGATGGGAAGCAGATGCCAGGAGCTTGGGACTGGGCAGGAGACCGTGCGTGCGCCTCAAGCCGATCGACTAATCCTGAGCTTGTGCGAAGCTCTATCGAGGCTCTACCAAGGAACAAACCTGCCTCTGCGGTTAGCCCGAGGACACCTCCTCTGTGCCTGATTTCCAGTGCAGACCCGGGTGCACCTGGGAAAGATGGGTCAGTTGATAGTGTTGCTTCGCTAGGTCAGATGCCATCAACAGCGAAACAGCTATTGTTCATCGATCAGATCTCCGCCTGGCTACCTACTACGCACGACTCCGACCTTCCGACCACACCAATCTTGGAGCAGACAGTTAATGATGGTGGCGAATCCCGTGATGGCGGAAATGGAAGTCAAGTCAAGCGCAGCTCTTCTCCAACCGGCGATCTTCATGCTTTCAGCCTGAATGCTAGTGAGAACAGAAGCCAAACGACAGATCGCATTCCTTATGAAGCAGATCTTACCCCCATATCCTTTAATTCGCCCGACACGATCGAAGTTGAAGTTGTGAATGTGCACTGTCAATTTGACATGCAAACCGGCAAAATCTTAGTCGCAATAGCGAAGTCAACCTTGGGAGAATCTCAAGCAGCTACCAAAGGGAAAAATGCATCTGTTCCTTCTGCCGCGGATCCCCGATTTTCCTTGAAGGTCAACGATCTGGATATTGCATTTCTCGAACATGTCCCAGAGCGATCCATTAAAGCTGCTGTCGAAAAGCATTTCCCTCCTGATGACGCGTTGCTTCTCCATATGTCACTTGCTGGAATAGCATATACAAGCTCGGTCCTCGATGGGGCTCTTCAACAGCATTTCCATCTGACGAAAATGTCTTTGTCCCATTCCAAAGGTCAACTCCTATTTTTCAGCCATGAATCAAGAATGAGGACTTCACTAAAGGATACTATCGCCCTTCAGAAGTACGATGTAGAGGCGTTGATCACATCCAAGGCTGGCGCAAGCAAGGTCGAGATCCACACCAAACCAATTCGATTGGTTTTCGAGCTGAGCCAAATGGACGATGTACTCAGCAGGAGTGGTGGCCTTAGCAGTCTCTTAGAACTAGGAAGCTCAGTCGCGTCTTCCAGCACTGTTCGAGATAGTCCAAGAAATTTCCATGAGCGTCGAGTTGAGCCTCGCGGTGTACGGTTCGAAGATCCCCCAGGAAGAGAACCAAGGCCATATGATGACCTCAACTTCGGACTTGGCAAGCTCAACATCCGCATGGGTGGAGTAGGTATCGATATCGTTGGATCTGAGTCTATCTTGAAGGCCACTTCATCTGCGGTCAAAGTTGTTTACAGAACAGAAGGCTTGGGCATGCAGATAGATCGGATATCACTACAAGGCCCATTTCTTCTGGGGGCGAATGAGAGTCCGGAATTATCTGTCAATTTACAAAACACCAGATTAGAATATCTACCAGTACCAAATGACAAAGATCTCGACCGCCTTTTAGCAATCCTGACGCCTTCGAAGGACAAATACGATGCAGATGACGACATCATGGTGGATACACTTCTAAGGCAACGACGAAAGGGCGGAGTACTTCGCTTGACTGTCATGTCCTTCATGGCTTCTCTTGAGGGTATGTCGCATATGGTGCATCTATCCAAGGTTGCTACCGAGCTTGGCAAGCTCTCCAAAGTTGCCAAATACCTTCCAGAGGACGATAGGCCCGGCATACTGAGTCTCGCGCTTGTGAAGAACTTCGAATTCGACATTAACATGGGAGATCCCATAGGAAAGCTTCATTTGCAAGCGCGGGCTTTAGAAGGTGCGCATGTGAGTGTTCCGTCTCTACTTGCCGCTCAAATTGCGACCGCTTCAATCCGCCGGAATGATGTTGAAATTCTTCTTGATGAAGCTATTACTTGTTCGGGTAGCAGCAACGTGCCACCAATGGTTATGTGTCGCTTTGTTGCCGACGAGATGGATCCAACTGTTAAGCTCAAGCTTTTTAACATATGCTTTGAATATCGTGCGGCTCTCGTCGCTGCCTTGATGAACACAGCAGACTCCTTCAGCGGTGAAGGATCAGAAGCTGGGAGCGAGAGATCATTGCAGTCTCTCGCGCGTACTTCATCGCCCCCGAGTAGTGAAAGTGCTGCGGAATTTGTCAGGCGAACCAATATATCAATCGCAATCCGTGATTCTGCTCTGGCTCTAAATCCTCGAGATGTCCAAGGAAGAGCACTTGTCATTCTGACCGACGCTGCTTTCGCAAGTCCACTCAATGACAGCAAGGACATCAAGGTGTCCACAGATATCAAGAAGGCATCAATCATGGTTATTGACAAAGTCAACGTTGATGGATCTCCGATCGACCCAGATCGCCGCGGTTCTGCGCTGCAAAGTGAGGATCAAGTTAGAACGCTCACTGAAATGGGCTATGTGCCTATTGGATACATCTCTTCAGCCACAAGTAACATCAACGTCACGCAATTGGACGACAATGGAAACCGATCTACGGAGGTTGATTTTGGAAATGCACTGCTTATCCTTGAGAGCTGTGCAGACTCTACGCAGACCCTCCTCGGCATCCTGAATGGACTGAGCCCGCCAGCTCCACCAGTAAAGGTTTCACCCTATCGCACCGAGATTATGCCGATTGAGGATCTCCTCGCCTCATTCTCTGGGGATGCTTTTGTCGCAGAATCCGGTCCTGAATCAGGCCTTCGTGTTGAGAGCAGTGCTGATTCCGAATCGAGGCTTCCAGGGCAACAAGATATCGAGTATGTTAGTGAGTTCTACCAGCCAGATCCGGACGATTCAGATGACATTTCAGAGAGCGGCCTCCATTCAGAGATGCTGGACTCTGAAATAGCAGAGTCGACTGTCTCAATATCAGTAGCACCTGTCTCGATCAAAGAGTCAGTAGCAGAAGCCTCGCATACCGAAGCCATGACGAATAGTCTGCTCGACTTTCGTGATGAGCATTTTGGAGATAGATCTACTGCTGGTGATGATTCTCACCGTTGGGATGCGACCAGAAACACGTATGGACTTGCTGGTGACCGAAGTGTTAAGAGATTCCCACTCAAGGTTCGCATTCGTGGTGTGCATGTCATTTGGAATCTCTTCGATGGGTATGATTGGCAAGGTACGCGCGACATCATCTCTGAAGCTGTGAAGGACATTGAGACAAGAGCCGCTGCCCGACGGCCACGAAGTGCCAGCAGGTTGTCGCCGGGTACGGAAGAAGAGGAGGAATCAGTCATTGGGGACTTTTTGTTCAACTCGATTTACATTGGCATCCCTGCGAATAAGGACTCCCGCGAGCTTGCTGGTGAGATCAATCGAGATATTGATGATCTTACCAGCGAAAGCGGTAGCTATGCGACGTCGACAACAATCACTGGCTCACCCGCAAGAGATCAGCCACTGAGGCAGAAGCAGAAAAGATTGAAGCTTCAAAGGAGCAAGCAGCATAAGATGACATTTGAACTCAAAGGTATTTCTGCAGATATGCTTGTCTTTCCGCCAGGCTCAGGTGAGGTCCAGAGCTCGGTCGATATCAGAGTCAAAGATTTGGATATATTCGATCATGTTCCGACTTCTACGTGGAAGAAGTTTGCTACATATATGCGCGATGCTGGGGAGCGGGAGGCATGCACAAGCATGATCCACATCGAGATCTTAAACGTGAGACCAGTGCCGGACCTGGCAGCAACGGAGATGATCCTCAAGTTGACTGTGCTCCCCTTGCGTCTGCATGTCGACCAAGATGCGCTTGACTTCATGAGCAGGTTCTTCGAGTTCAAAGATGAACGCGCACCCGCACAATCCGCCACCACCAGCCCACCACCATTCTTGCAGCGGGTGGAAGTCAATCCCATCAAGATCAAACTCGACTTCAAGCCCAAACGAGTCGACTACGGCGGCCTCCGCTCCGGTCGCACCACCGAATTCATGAACTTCTTCGTCCTCGACCAAGCCGACATGATCCTCCGACGCGTCATCCTCTACGGCGTCTCCGGCTTCGACCGCCTGGGAATCATGCTCAACAACATCTGGACACCAGACGTGCGACGCAACCAACTGCCCGGCATCCTCGCGGGACTAGCCCCCATCCGCTCGCTCGTCAACGTCGGCAGCGGCGTCAAAGACCTGGTCGTGGTGCCCATGCGCGAGTACCAAAAAGACGGCCGGATCGTGCGGAGCATCCAGAAGGGCGCCCTTGCCTTCGCCAAGACGACGTCCAAAGAACTCATCGGGCTCGGCGCCAAACTCGCCATCGGTACGCAGACGGTGCTGCAGAACGCAGAGACGATGCTCGCACCCCCCGACCCTGCCTCCAACCCCTCCCCCCGCGACGACCAAGACGAGGACGCGGAATCCCGCAAGCAAATCTCCCTCTACGCCGACCAACCCATCGGCGTCGTCCAGGGTCTGCGTGGCGCATATGCCAGTCTCGAGCGCGATCTGCTGCTGGCCAAAGATGCCATCATTGCCGTCCCTGGTGAGGTGATGGCGAGTGGCTCTGCAGCCGGGGCGGCCAAAGCGGTATTGAAGCAGGCCCCGACGGCGATCTTGAGACCGGCGATTGGCGCGAGCAAGGCGGTGGGGAAGACGCTGTTGGGAGCGGGGAATACGCTGGATAGGGAGAATTGGAGGAGGGTTGAGGAGGTATGTTTTCCCCTTTCATTTCTTTCTTTTCTTTCTTTCTCCTCTTTTTTCTTTCTTTTTGTTCTAGATGGCGATGTGATCGGCTGACTTTTGGCGTAGAAGTATAAGAGGCATTAGAGTTGTGAAGGACATCCCGCAGGAGGGTTCAGGGGTGATTTTGATATCTGGACACATGAAATTACAGGCTTTGTTTTCCCGGCGCTCGGGGGGAGGTGGCATCAGCATCATTCATTGGAAGCATCGTGGATGGGGGAATGCATAAAGGCCAGAATGAACATGAACATGTTGGGGCGAGAAAGCATAGATTGATTTAGTATAAATTGCGAACGCTCGGTTGCGTCAGACTGTGGTGACATGATATCACAACTGTTTGTTCACTTTGCACCTCCCATCTCCGAAATCGCATTGCCTCGTCGTTTTTTCACCCAGGGTCTTTGCACAACTCAACGTGCAGATTCACCACGCATCTGCCGGCGCTGGGGGATATAGCTACGTTGATGGTGTGAAGGTGGAGGTGCTAATCGCCTTTTTGATCCTCACGGTTGAGCGGTCCTCTACTACCCATTTGCTGGTCCATCTACCTCGTGTAAACGACGCATCCATCAACCCCAGTGGAGAAGCATTCTGCTCTGTACTGAGGGTGCATTTCTATTCTGCAGCATCAATACTGGACTGAGGACGTGTGGTTCGGCACCCTCGCTTACTTCACGTTTCGGAGGGGATGGCCTTTCCGACATGCGTGGCTGCATACACCCGAATTTCACGATCCTGTTAGCCTTTGGGTTGACATGATCAACTAACTATTTAAAGGCCCTGCTCCGTCAAGCGGAGGCAGAAGCAGTGCAGCTGGCGATACGACCAATAGAGCAACGAAAGTCGTTCTCAGTCGAACTGGGCCTTCTTCCGTTCGTCATTTGTCCTCTCTGCTTTCCTTGGATGCAGAGAGCTGGTAGGGTGGTCTTGGCTCCGGGATCACCACTTCTTTTGCATAGAACCGAGGCATCGACCATGGTCGATCAACCCAAAGGCACGCTGGGCTGTACTGGGCCTGCTGCCATGACGTTCCAATTTCCCGGCGGAAGACCATTCGTACCGGCTTGAACGTAACCCGGAGTAGAGGGTCCAGCAGGAGCCGGTCCTACACCGTTTTGTACGATGCCTTCAAGGCGCTGCTTCTTGAGCTTGCCTGCACCTGGTTTGGCAGGATCAGTGACGTATTCTTCCTTCAGCTGCATAGATGTGGATGGTTCATAGCCTCGTTCGCGTGCAATCTTGCGCAGCTTGTCTAGAAGCTTGGCGTCAATTCCAGTAATCTCACGGATTCGGTCGTAGGATATGCTTGCTTCTGCCAGGGCAAGGGCTTGGATCCTCACAACCATGGGGAAATCTGTTAGTTTCGGCGGGCCCTTTCGCTTCTCTGTGCCCTCGGGCTGATCTGCCTTTGGCGCTTTGAGGAAGGCGGCTGGATCAGCGGCACGTCGGGTGATGCTGTTCTCGACGCCCTGGGACTTCATGGCATCCAGGTAGGTCTGACATGTGAGCAGATGAGCTCGTTGGCGCGAGGTGTGTTGAGCCATCTCCTTGCTGCAATATTTGCAGCTTGCTTGGCGCAATTTCTGTGGCCATGATTGAGCGCTTGAACAGTATGATGAGTAGACTGGTGGACTGCATTACCTGGGCTGATCCGGGGGTGGGCTCGATCAGATTCCATGCTGAATGAGTCTCGACGTCTCCGGGGCTGTTTTTGTAGCCACCAGAGCCAGCGCCTCCCATGGCGATTGGTTAGCACGATGGACGACAGTTGGTGGTCGGTAGTCGGTAGTCGAATGACGAATGTAACGTCGTTGAAGGGTGTCTTTTGATGCTGCTGCAACTTGTAAGATGAGCGCGACGTTGTAAAGACAAATCTGACGAGATATACGCTAGTGCTGTCGGTAACGGCGCCAATCCCTTTTTGGAAGTGGCATCAACACTCGCGTTGACGCGCAAAACTACACAGAAGGCGCAAAACTCACCTAAAAGGCACATCATCGGATACCGACATTACGATCACAATGGGTGATGCCTCGCAGGCTGCCACTGCTCTGCTGACAGAGCATCTGCAGTATACCCCATTGGTGCGCCTCCATCTCCAGTAACTCACCTGCGCACCGCTAATTGGCTTCAGTCGCTGATTGACGATATCATCAATTCTGTCAACAACCTCGTCTATCAAGGCATCTCGAGTCTCGAGAACGGTCTGACCGCAACTCCTCCTGCGCGACTTGGATTCAAGCCTTCGAAATCTGCGACGTTACCACCATCCGGAGATGGTGATGCCAGTGTAGACTATCCCGAAGCAAAGCAAGAGATTGAGGAGGGACTCCATCAGCTTGAAACACTCCTCGAGTCCACGGTCGATAAGAACTTCGATAAGTTCGAGATTTATGTGTTGAGAAATATCTTGTCTGTTCCAGAGGAGCTCCCTAGTTGGATACGGCTGAGCCATTACGAGGTGTGCTTCTCCCTTCGTTACCTACGTCCATGTTCCCCCTTTCGTTATTGGACTGTATCAGGCAGCTGACCGCAATGTGATAGAACTTGTCCTATCCGCCTCCAGATGGAGCACCTACCCAAGAGTCGGTTCATCTGCTGCGGCGGAAGGTTATAGAATCACAAAGACTCCGAAATTATCTATATACAGAAGCATCTCGCAACGAAGCCATTATTGCGCAGCTCAAAGGCCTGCTGACACAGTCATATGGTGATGCAGTACAACCATCACAATCCTCACAGCACGATTTCTCCTTCCTCACATCGACGCCATCGGCCAAAGTCTTGAACGTGTCCACATCAAGCGCTGCACAACAACCAATCACAACAAATACCAAGTTCGCTCTCTCCCAACTTCCTGCCTTGAGAGCTCTTCTAGCGGACCTGCGGCCAAGATTAGCCACCCTGCAGACCCCAAGGACAGTGATCGACGGCGTCCGGGCAGAGAGAAGAGAAGAACGAAGAGAATACATCGAGCAGAGAGCAAAGATGCACCTTCAACGATATGCAGATAGCTCCTCGGCCAACAACCTTCCTGCTGCTGGTAAGCGGGTGGAGGTAGAAGAGGTCGAGGCACTTGAGAAGGTTGCGGACATCTTCGACACGCATTGAAGCTTCATTGGCAAACATTTGTGATCACCGCACCAGCCAGAATCGTTCACTCCTCGGGCCATTTTCATTGCATCGAGTCGGTCAATCAACATTCGACTCGGGTCGAATCAAAGGCCAGAGCAGCTTGCGCCAATTGCAGACACGACGCAGCAAACGAGCAGCAATTAATCCCAGCCCAGAACAAAAGAACAAGAAGCCGGCCAAGGGTTTTAGCAACTGGAAAGAACGAAATGCCCACACAGGCCGAGATCACGTGGGAACGACCAAGCGTCTGGGACCTACTCACATCCCGTTCTCACTCCGTCCTGCCACATCGAGCAGCCAGAGAACACTTTCATCGAACAGAGCGGAGGATGATGTGCATAGACTTCGCATCATGTGTCAGCTATTGTTTTCGTTTCAAAAACAGTCTCCGCTATGAGGGTGGAGACTGCAATGCCAGCGAAGCAATGTTACCATTTTGAGGTTGGTCGACCTTTGGCACCACCGCTACTGCTGCAGGCTAGCGCAGGTGTCACACGACCACCAGTAACGGGAAGACGTTTGCTCAATGGCTAGATCCTGGGGCGACATGTCTTCAAGAACTTTGGTATTATTTTGAGCTTTCAAACTATCGCGACAGTATGTTAAAGTCTCGTCATTACAACTTCAACACCCTATGTCTCCATTGTACAGTGACCAATCAAGGATACCAAGTTGCGTTCTGACCTGGCGAGTCGGACGAGGTGATCAAGCCAACACCTAAGTATGATGTCATCCACGTCGCTTGACACTCCAATCGAGTTAGAACCTGTCTACTCATTGCACGTGAAACAATTCAAAGCTGGCTGAATGTCAGGGACTCTTCTTGATCTATCTACCTTTCAAAGACAAAAGAAAGCCTTTCCCACCAATTAAAGCAGAGAATGGAGATATTGAACGCTCGCTTGATTTAAGAGTCCGAGCTAGTCATACTTCTGCCTGCTTCTTATAATAGTGTTCGTCTTGGAAAAGTTGTGGCTCATTGTCACAAGAAAGAAGAGCGCTTTTTCTTGTACATGAGTATATCGTTGACATCCCTGCTAGCATTGGCTTCCGAGTATTTCTAGTAAAGTGAGAGGCGCATACCACACGGCCGCGTCCCACTGCTGAGTTCAGAATTTAAGCTGGTAAAAGGAGCGAGAGAAGAGAATCGAGGGTATCTCCCGAAATGACCGGCGATCAAGCTGTACCACTGCTGTTTGAGAAGCTTTTGACGCAACAGAAGGAGACGACGACTGGTCAATCAAGGTCCACCAGCACGTCCATTATAATCCCAATGAGCTTGCCCTTAGACCTACTAGTTCCGATAACGCAGTAGTACCCACCACCCACATTGTTCTCATTTGGCGACCTGAGCACGTAAGGAGGGTCTTCTATTACCTCGTCAGAGCACGCGTTCTTAGTAGAGCTCATTACAGTGTAAGCCGTGTGCGCAGTATTGTACCAGATGCACGCTGTTTCGCCAGTCTGACCGGGGTGGTAGGAGGCCGATACAATGATGGCAGCTATCACGATATCTCTCATCAAAACGATATTAGCTGGACCGAGTGGGCTGCAAGTAGCATTGAGTCTTGCACGGCAAGGCGTTAGCTTCTAAATCATCGGTCAGTGCATGTGTCGCTCAAACCTCTGTCCTGACATCCGGTACAAGCAAGATTAGGGAAAGAGAGGACCGGCACCGTAGAGACCATTCGAGCTAAGTTCTTAGTGGGTAGTGATGGGGCTGCGAGCATGATTCGCAAGAAGCTTAACATACCATTCGATGGTGCGAGCACGGATACCTGTTGGACAATTATGGGCTGTGGGCCGACCCCTGGTCAGGCGAATAGAGTTCCCTTTGTTTAAAGCTGATGCAATAAGATTAGAATAATATCCCTCTGTGACGAAGACTGATCTGGAAAATATCCTGCAGGAGGGGGTTTGCACTAGTAACAGGAGTGAAAACTTGCTAAGTATATTAGTTCGCTTATGGTTTAACAACCTACTTAGGATGGCGCAATGGCCAAGAGCAAAAACTGATGATTTAGTGGGGTACATTCAGTCCGGGAATCGGCTGAAGAGAAAAGTGATCCAGATCCCCTTCTCCCACCGCTCCAAACTGCAATCATCGCCTTTCCCAGCCTGTGGCGCTATTGGCCTATTGCTTCTCCCTCCTCATCTCGGTTGCTGCTGCTGCTGCAGCTGCAGTTGCTGCAGTTGTTTGAGCTGCTCTAACTGCTGGAGCTGTTGAAGTTGCTGTAGCTGAGCGGCTTGGTCCGGTGTGATAGTCTGTTGTTGCTGTTGTGTAGCCGGTTGTTGTCCACCGCCAAGGAGACCACCAGTCAGGCCGCCAACGACACCCGTCACCGGTTGCAGGACGTTGTCGACCGTGCCCACAACAGGGTTCAAGACACCGCCTAGGAGACCTGGGGGATGATTAGTATGAAAGTGACTCAGGGAAAACTTTAGAACGACCAGCACGGCGGCCGCAACAACAATGGGATGTAGAGATGGGAAGTGACGAATCTTACCAGGCTGCTGTTGGCCATTACTATTTCCGCCTCCTCCCAATAGTCCTGCCATATCCAGAGAGTAAGGAAGTACGGGTTGCTTTAGAAATTATTTCTTGTGAGATGTGGTAGATTGAGGTGATTTGGATGATACAAGTCGAGGGAACAACGACCTAGGCACAGATTTTACCTCCAATGCTCCGTACACCAGAATCCAGATATGATGTCATGACAAGGCGCTTATGAGTGCGGCAAGGCTTTTACGATTAACAAAAGGTTAGTACTATGTAGTATTCCAGTCACCTGGACGCGTAGGGGGATCTGAGGGATCATCGACGTCAAAGGCGTTGGAAGATCAACATCCTGGAAAGACGAAGCCGAGCACCAAGCAAAGGATGAGCTTTTAGGCAGAAATAACGCCGTCACCTGCAGCAGCCGTACGGGGGTTCCACCTTGTTTTTGGGCCTTATCTACTGCGGACAAGAAGTTGTGAGAACTGGTGCTTCATCCCTAATCAGGTTACAGTCGTTCTGCAAAGTCCTGGCACTTTTCATCCTCTTACACATCACTGCTCCACAAATTTACAGAGGACTGTACTACAAGACAGGGAATTATGATAGTATTAGTTAAAGAAATCTTTTCTGTGAATTATAATTCTCAAGCAGATTCAATAAATAGACTATTGATGAAAGATGTTGTCGGACATGCAGACTACGTGGACCCTGCGCTAAGCTTACCTGCGCTCATCCTACCCTGCGCTAAAGCCTGCCCTGGGCTAAGTTTGCCCTGCATTTCCGCTGCGAAAAAATGAAGAGATGAAAATCAGCACATTATCTTATAAATACGACAACACTCAATGATATTTTCCTTAGTTGACCTCTTTACAGGATTTGCATGTATTCGTAGCTTGGGAAATGTGAAGAGTTCTTGTAAATGAGTAGTGGTGGATTGTTGATTTGAGGATTTGCGGTTGCGGTAGGTGTGCTGGGTTTTGGGTTAGTTTCAAGTGTTTTACCCGTAAGACGCTAGTGTGAGATCTACTAGCGCTTGTCAATCTGGCGGTCGGTTAGACCTTCTTCCGTAACTATTACCGGTGGGGCCTGAAGTTATGTTAGCTCAGCACTAGTATCTTTACTTGTAAACCCTCTCTGTACAGAACAGCTATCAAAAGAAGTTAGAAGTAATGATGTAACTTATTGGAATGGATACACAGCGAACAAGCTTTAAAGTGACGAATGGTATCATCATGTCTTCGTATTAAGAACTAGCTGCTTTTAGCACCAGAAACTATTACTTCAGGCCCCCCCTGTAGTAGAGGGATCACTTAAAAATAACGCCGGCACTTCTCGGAACTATTGTAATACGTAGTATCGTGACTTTACAACTCACTAGTACGTAGCTTCTAAGGTGAACCTCGAAATTTCGATCCACAGCAACTATGAGCCAGAATCCGTGGATCTCAGCCACCCTGTGTTGATACCCTGTGTTGATACCCAAGGTGGACGATAGCCAAGGAATGAGTAATCCGTCTTTCTCGAAGCTTCTCTGACTGATATTTACATAGTACACAACTAATCCAATTTCAATACAGCTATAGCGTTATGAGCTTAGGCTTCACGTACATCACTTGTTAATTGAAGACACTAGCACTGTGCGATGAGTACGTCAGCCTGCTACTGCGGTAGATCATGTCGTGTTAGCGTAGCATGTCCAATCGAAGGGAGCGGAACGTATGTGATGTCGAGATCAAATTAACCCCAACTGCGGTTTTCCGACTCCTTGGACCCTCAAAATCCTGTCTCGGATCACAAGCTTCATCAGCCCCCCAGTTCTGTCCGTCTTCATCTCCCGTAACCTTCATACGTCCATCCAATGGCCATGATCACAAACTTTCACACCTCCGTCTCCAGCATGCCAATCCGAAGAAGGTGTAGAAGCGGGAAGTCGAAGAAGGGAGGGTGAACGATGAACGAGGTAGCGGTGGAAGTGGGGATGGGCTCGTCAAGACGGATGACACACTCTGAGGAGCGGTTCTTAGCCGTGCGCAGTGTTTGCTGGGTGTGGGATGCAAACTGCTGACGAGTTCTCCATGTTTGAGATCTGCCTAATATGGCGATTTTGTCAATCTCGAGTCCGACCTCACCTTCCTGAGGGCTCATTCTATATTTGCTCCACCTTCCTTTATCAGCCCATTCATGCTCCCTCGTCGTCCTTTCTTTTCCTGCGCTCCTTCCTGATCAGCTCGACCTCAACGACCTTCCAACCATCAATCTTGGTTGCCAAGGCGTCGTCATCGCGATCGAACCACAAGACCCATGACTTCCGCTCTCCGTTATCGTCCCAGCCCTCGGTCGCGCGGCCTTTCTCGTCCTGCTCATCCAAGTACTCGACTTCCTCGACCGCGACAAAGCCCTCCCAACCTTCGAGCGTGAGTCGCTTGTCAATGCTGGTGCAGTCCCAGGGCCCGACAATGTGGCCCTGGGAGGCTACTTTATCGCCGTAGCGGAGCTCGTACGTGTCCACGTCGACGAAAATCCAATTCAGCTGCGGGGGGTCGTCGCTTATGGTGGAGACGAGTCCTTCGCCTCGGCGACCCCAGGTCTGCTCCGGGTAGGGTAGAAAGTAGCCAGCGAAGGGATGACCTTTGGGACGCTTGTCACTGTGCCTCTCTGCACGTGTGGCAATGTAGAGCTATGCGGGCAGTCAGCCTTGATATGCTCGGTTCAAGATTTTTGACCCATCAAGCGGGCAACTCGGAAAATGCACCAGAGAGTCGGGAATGACGCACTCTGCCGTCGCGCAACTCGACCGGGCAACCATCGATTTCGCTGCAGGAGCCAGAGACGACGAGATTGGTCTTTGCGCCTCGGTGGCGTTCCTTTGCGCTCTGGCGTTGGCCCTGGCGAACAGCTTCGACGGTGCCGATGATAGCTGGGCAGGCTGCTATGGAGGTTATGATGCCCAGGACCATATTTGATCGTGGCGGCAATGTGATTGGATTCGATGAATAACGGAGAGTTTCAGAAATAAAAGGGTTTACGACACCGTTTGTGGAACTTGACGTCCAGGGGATGAAGGTGGTTAAGGGTTAGTCACTGTCCGGAGGGAATCACTTGACGGTGTACTACGTAAGAAGCAAGAAGGCAGAGGGGCAAAATCAATGTGCAACCAGGGTGAGCTGTACACAAGGCGTCCGTTTGTCACCATGCTAGGAATTGGAATTGCCCAAGACTTTGGAAAGTTGGAGAGACATTTGCTCGCGATCTAGTACTACGTAGTTAGTACTGAGTGCGTATTGTTACTAGTCAGTACGCAGTATGCTAAGACCACATCAAACAAGCGCAGGAGATTCCCGGCAAGGTTAAGCCAAGTTTCAGCCAAGTCTTATCCACTGCGGGTAAGCGCTGAGGGGCCTTGGCGCCTCGCGCTTACCTATTCTGTCCGAACTTCGTATTTAGGATTCTAGGCTAAATACTCACCACCACCACACAACTGCTTTCAGCGCAGCCATGCGTCAAAGGTTCAACGGTTACGCCCTTTCGTGCCAGTCCCGAGTCTCAAGTCTTTCCCACACGATCACTATCCAGAACCATTGATTGTGTGAAGACTAGTATCTAGCAATACTGCGTACTGTATCTCCAATCACATCCATCACGAAATGTCACATGCACCATGCACCGTAGATTGCGTTCGTTAGCGTGGCACCGGCGGAAGAAGGCTGCGGGTAGGACTTGATACAGTGATGAGAAACCTGCTTTTCGAGAAGTACCTCCTGTGTATGCAGAAACTGGGACATACAATGAATGAGCCTGGCTGGGGAGTGATCCAAGCCACCCCCGTCACCGTGCCTTTGTGACAGCCTCCGGACTTGCCAATTTTTTGTTCAAAGTCAGACTCATTCTCCATCCAACCTCGTGCGCTCTGCGTCCCATCCTCAGCTCACCTCACCTTCTCCTCGTCCAGCCCTTGAAGCGTGTAAGTAACCAAAGCATGTCTGAAGTGTGAGCGTTCACTCTGCTGTCTCTCTTCCTCAACTGATCCTGCCATACAAACAAACGCTAATTCAGCTCCACTCTCTCACAGCGCCGCTAACGAAACCCAGAGCCCTAACAAGGCCGACGACGCCAATCTCTCGGACAACAACGAGGCTCCATCTCCCACCCCGACCCCCACTGCTGACAAAGACAACAACAACATCACCATGGCGACCACCACCGACACCAACGCCAAGCAGACCATGACGGCCCAGCAGTTGGAACAGTCCCTTCCAGCCGCGGGCGACGAGCTAGCCCAATTCGTGCCCAGCGCCCAGCGCGGTCGCCGCATCGTGCCTGTCCACCAATCGCGCATCGCCGACCGTCCTCCAAAGGTCGGCGAGAAGGACAGCAGTCTCAAGATCAAGATCGAGCTGGACCTGGAAGTCGAGGTAGAAATCTATGCGCGGGTCAAGGGCGACGTCATGATTGGCTTGATGTAATTAACGTCTTTTTTCTTTCTTGTCTATAGGTTGAGATCTACGCCCGCGTCAAGGGCGACGTCACGATCGGTTTATTGTGACACTCGTTCTGGGTCTTTTTTTTTCTCCAACCTTACAAAAAACTCTTTTTTTTGAGTGGGTACGCTTTTTCTTGTAGGCGGTGGTAGTGATAACGTGATTGTGTAGTACCGCAGACCCGTCGAAATGATACAACAATCTCAACGCCCTCACTACGCAAGAAGAAGAAAGATCACGTTGGTTTTTCACTATCGCCGCCCACCGGATACTCCTATTTACCTATCTACCTACCTACCTACCCACCTGCCTGCCTATTTCGAGCGAGACTTTTTGAGGATTATGTTGAAGGGTGGAGGTGGAGGGGCGGATGTTGTGACTCGAAGAGGAAAAAGGAAGGCAAAAGAAGGGTTTCATTTGTGGGTTGGATCTTTTGTGTGGGTGTTTTCTATGGGGCATACATTAGCATACCTCCTTTTCCCAAAATCACTACTATTTTCAAACGACGCAGGAATGTTCCAATGCCTCTTGGTTTTACCGCTGCGTGCCCACCATACGGTGTCACAAACGTGTCATGTGATTTGAAATAGCTTTGTCCCTCCGCCTCAACGACTCATTAGCGTCCAAAGCGGGGTTGCTGCCTGGCCATCGACAAACTACTTAACAGGAAGAAGCCCCCTTAAAAAAAATGGTAAGAGAGCCGTCAAAGTTCGCTTAGAATTAGCCTAACCGTAAGATTGCTTGGAGTGTACCAGGATGTGTAGCTAAAGCATCTGTAATCCAATGGGATTTCATCATTCACAGCGTTATTTGTCCAGAATATGGTCTTATTGTGGTCAAAATATGCCTCTCTTATCATGATAATACTACAGTACTAATTGTAGCATAGCGCTAGTAGCAGCTAGTTCAGATACAGCGCCACATCAATGTCTAGAAGCTTCTTTGGCCATTGTTCATATCAATTGGCCACACTAATACCGCTAACTGTTCAAGGCCTAGATGTCTGGTTCGTAGCCTGTTTTAGTGAAAATATACTAGCGCTGTACTACAAATACTTACTACAGTACCAGGCCTAATTTGTGTACCCCCCTCCCTGGTCAAAATATTTTACAAACGTCTTTTTTACATACATATCCTTATAAGCATCCCTGTCACTATTTTGCACAAATTTTGCTCATTCTGCAGATTCCGCTTATTTTGCTTTGTACACATTCTACTAATTCTGCATAAATACTAATAGACTTAATAATAGGGTGACAGCTATTAGTACTCCATAGGATGCTACATCTTCTAATTATCTTAAGAAGCTGCTTTAGTCGATGCAGAGAAGATAGCAAGTTATTATAGATGTCAATGAAAAGTAAAAACTTGATTGTAAAGCACTAGTCCTATTTAGGCCGTTTTGTGGGCGTCTATACTCAATTCTACATAGTACGTTTTGTACAGATACTAATGTTTTCAGCAGGCGGGGGTACAAAAATTCGGCCTGGCACCGTAGTATGTCTAGTACCATAGTATAGTCCTTATTTGACAGAATAGTTGCCATTCCCACTAACTATTGGAATTGGCCGTCAGCCAAACCTTGGCCTCATATGTCACGTGACTGCGCACGTACCACTCCGCACATCATATTAGCCTGCTCCTCCTGAGATAGATTCTGCAAGGTAGATAGAATTCATTCATCCACTTCATCACAAATGATGAATTACCGTCATTTTATGCCAGAAAGATGGATATCTGACCGCAATTCTGCCTCGCGGCACCAGCAATTCGAGGGTAGCGTCAAGTATTTGCAAAAGTTTCGCAACGCACAGTACCATTCGATGATGTGAGCACGGATATCTATTAAGGAATCAAAGACTGCATCTTTGAAAGTGATTACCCACATGCGTGGGTATTTAGGTACAGTCCAGTGGGACCATACTGGCTTCTCCACAGTTTGCTAATGTATCATATAGATCAGTCATCTCCTCAAAACATGGTGGATGCGTTATCATTCCCGGTGAAGATGGCCATATCATGATATCAAGTTAGCCACACTTGAAACAATATAGACTGATGGTTGATAGGAAGTTACAGGCTGTAAACTCAATTGGATATCTCCAACGCTGGAGAGATGGCCAAAAGCCGCCAGGCCACATCAGCCTCCTTCCAAGAATTCGGTGGGCGAGTGGAAATCAACAGCATCACTACGGAAGAAGTCCTCGAACAAGCAAAAAGAAAAAAGCACGCAGGACATAGGCGCATCGAGAAGCCGAATTGTTCCAGCGGGAGGAGTATACGGTTTGGTTGTTCTTTCTTGCTCGCTCGGGATTTCTCTTTTCCCGGCTCTCTACTACCATGAATGATGAATGAAACTTGGTACCACCACCACACTTGGCCTTGCACCAAGCCCAGGCCCCACCACTGCTCCGTGTAGTTCTCTACGGCCCCCAAAGCTGATCTAGGAAGCAGAAGAGGGCACGTCGTCACAATTCGTCTTGTTGACTGCATCCGCCCACTTCTCATGATCGGCCGACAGGCGCTTCAACGTCTCCCGGACATGTTCCACCGCGTCCGCTCCCAGCGCCAGTCGCCACGGCAGCTTTTCGACCCCCGCCCATGGCCCGCTCTTGGTGAGGTAGTCGACCATCACTTTGACGCCTTTGAGCGGGTCGCCAGGCTGATTCTTGTTGACCTGGTCCAAGTTGGCTTTCATTTGCTCCGCGAATGGGTAGTCCGCGATGGTCCTCTTGGCCGCGGTGCGGTTGGCAGATGTCAGGAAGTTTGTGCGAAAATAGCCTACGAGAGATTGGCAATTCCAGTCAGCCTGCTAATTTGCATGGTTTTACCCTCTACCCCATCCCCAGGCTGTTCTGGGTTACATACCGGGCTCGATGATTGTCACATCTATACCGAATGGCTCCGCTTCTAGCCTCAGGGTGTCGGTGATGCCAGCAACAGCAAATTTCGTGCCACAGTACACGCCCACGGCCGGGGTGCCTCGCCAGCCTCCGATGGATCCAAGATTGGCGATCGTGCCGGATTTCTGTGCCCGCATGTAAGGTAGGATGGCTCGGATCATGCGTAGAAGTCCGAAAACGTTGCAGTTGAACTGGGCTTCGATCTCTTCCTCACTATACTCATGATCAGGAAAGTCAATGCTCTAATCTTTCTCGGAGACCATGAAGGAAGTACAGAGAATGAATGTGCGGTTAAGCGACCCATATGCCACCTGGGAGGGGGGAAGAGGGAGGATAGATGATCCAACGACCTGGATGAACAACACAAGTAGTCAAACAAGCGCCCTCTACTCACCTGCAAGCCTCGACCATACCCTCAAGAAGGTACCCGGCATTGTTTACCAAGATGTCGATGCGACCGTGCTCCTCCACAGCACTGGCAACAATTCGATTGACGACTTCATCCGGTTGGCATACGTCAAGCTCAACCGTAGATGCGCCTAGATTCTTGAGTTCCGCCAATTTATCAGCATTGCGGGACGTGGCGATGACACGGTCTCCGCGCGAGAGCGCCTCGCGGCAGAGCTCCCAGCCAAAACCACTGGAGCAGCCGGTGATGAGCCAGACACGTTGGTTAGCCATACTGTGACAAAAGGGAGAGGTGAGGGAAGTGCTTGACGATAAGACTGATCTCACCGGCAAAGCAGGAGGTGTCTTCTTGCTAAAAGCTATAGTTTATCAGCTGTGTACAAAGGACGAAGAAGTAGAGGGATATTTATCTCCTAACCCTTCTGCCGCAGCCCACATGCTGTCTGAGCCCAAAACAGCCGAGGGACATGTACGGAGTCGTGCTTCCATGGTTTCTATATACGCTAACTACTACGTAGGGTTGCACGGAGCAAGCTCTATATACGTGTATGCAGCGGACTGGGGCACCATAATTGTGGCGCTGGGGCATCATAAGGTTTAAATGTAGTTTTAGTGCGTGATTACTCGATAGTGGTTGATAGCGACAAACACACCAAGACTTTGGTTCCCGAAGACTTGGCGTATGATTTTGTATTAAGTATATTTCTATATATAGAATATATTATTCTAAAATTCATAAAGTTGATAAAGATTAATATGTCAGGATCCCCGGGGAGTGCAAGGGCAATAGAACAGTAGAAGGTCGATAGATTGACTTATTAAGCGCAGAGAACTAGTATCTATGTGCAAGAAGAAGGATACAAGTAGTAGAATATCCTCTTAAGTCCTTTGATGCGCAGAACAACGAATCTTCTGCGTAGAATAATGCAGAATCCACCAGAGTCCTCCTGGCCCTTATACCGTACGCAGGGCACGCGCTTGGCATGCTTAGCGCGCATAACACGGAATGCATTGGGAACTGACCGAACGGTGCATTTGTAGAGGTGTATTTAGCAACGATGCATTTGGCGTTTGAAAATGATTGGTTGATAATGGTTATCTTGCCAAGGCTGCAGCTGATTTTGTCAAGACACTTAAGAAAAAAAAGATTCTAATTTTATTAACAGGCTCTTAGCCACTTCTTAACGGCTTAGATGGCTTTAGAGGGCCCGGCCTAATCTTACTCGGCCTAAACCTTAGCCCTTGTGTTACGCCGCGCCAAGTCTGCCAAGAACGCTACGCACGCCTAGCGCGCGCGCACACACAAATGGAGAACTCTACACTCTAGGAGTCAGAATTTCTCCATCGTTCGACTTATAGAAGTCGGGAGTCCATCCTTCGTCGCCACTGCTGATAGTGCTTTACGTATGCGAGGCGCATGCTATTCGTACGCTAGATTGTCACGTCGCTCACAACCCTTGGCACTCCTGACACCTTGATAGATTAGCCTGACCAATATAGTAGCCTAGAAACACTAGTGCTATACTATAAATACCTATCCCTAGTACTATAATAGACAATTAAAATACTACTTGCATAATCTTATCTTATCTTATCTCTAATTCAAATCCTAGTATTCTACTAAGGTTGCAAACGATCTTAAAGACAAACTATCAAAAACTAAGATGAAGGTGGCTAGCTTCTCAGCCATACTCTAGCGATAGTCAACTATCTCTAACGTACTCCTCTGTAGATGAATAGTAATATAGATCTCAATTGATAAAGCATTTTTCTATGTAGTGAATAAGTTCTACTTCCTTAAAAAGAATCCTTTGTATCTAAAACTTATATCATTAGAATCAGGAGAAGCTTAACATCAACTCAGTCTATTGTTTATATGATACAAATCCATGGATGAGCGTCAAAAGCTGTTGCTGTTTCTGTTTGATAACGTGGCGCCAGCAACTGCGCACAACCTCCAAATTTGTCGCAAGAGTTTCGCAATGCACAGTACCAGAACAGAAGCATTTCCCTGTTGCCAATTGGCTTTATTCTTGTCCGCGCGGGCGTTTTGCTGCCTGTCTGTACAAGGCACTCACTCGCTTGTCTTGTTGTTGCCGATTACCATTGGGCCGTGGGACTCTCATTCTGCCTATATTTGACTGACATACTAGCCTGCCTGAATTTTTGCTGTTGCCTGTGCGTTCCAACCGATGGGGGTTGCAACCCCCGGACATTGATAGATCTGTCAGCCGAAAAATGACCGCGCCTTCAGTGGCTGCACAACGAGTTGATTAAATCTGCTGACAAAATACGCGATCTCCGGCACCAAAACTGAGGAGTACAACCTGTCTCAACGTTGATAAGACCTATCAAGAAGATCACACAAAGGCGCTTTACGCAGTACTAAGGAAAGCGGAAGCAAGGTTGCTGGTGCAATTGCGTTCAGCCGCCAGCAGGTTCAAATGATTAGCTGTACAAGGTCAAAGCGACGGTCAGTGGGAACTGTGATTGCGAGGCAATCAAGGAGGCAGCCAGCCAGTTTCTTCTTTACGTGTAAGAGATAGGACGAGGAGCGGATGGAGATGAGGTCAGAGTGGGCCTGGCAAAATGGGCAACTTCAGCTTTTTCCTGGCGGAAGAGCGGCGGGATGAAGAGGCGGAGGGGTGGCGGCCGGAGCTGGCAGCAGTGAGAGCCACCATCCCGGATGCTTTGCAAGGGGCGACAGGAAGATTAGAGACGGAGGCAAAAGAGATCGAGGAGGCCTAAGCTGGCAATGGCAGCGGAGTGGATGCGAAGACAGCTCGAACAGGTACGTAGCAGGATCTGGGCTAGCAGTCGTCAAAAGACGCTGGATAGCTGACCCTAGTTATTCGATATTCTAAGAATGTAGGTTCACCCATGCAGAGATCTCAGATAGGGAGATCACTAATGACAGCGGGGACATGGCGCTGGGTACGGGCTTCCCAGGCCTGCCACAATCACAGCATCCACTTACATGAAAGGCCTATCTCGTGTTCGACGATACTACGTACAGATGAGCATATCCCCACCACTATTGATCATCTAGTTATCAGCCATAGCAGTGCCGCTGACCGTTCGAAGTTTTGGCTGGCTCATCGAGAGTCCATTCTGGAGCAAGAGTACGAACCTTCAGCCAACATTACCTGTTGCCGGTACCGTAGTGCTCATTACATTCTACTACGACACTCGGCCGAAGCATCCCTAGTACAGTGCTAGTCTTTGGGCATCGAAAAGCTGAACAAGACCACTAAGCTAATAAATGATACAGTTATATAATATCAGGCGGTTTTTTGTAAATATTGACAAAGAAGCTTTTTACACCGCACGGTGACGACGTCTCATAAAAACCAGCTGTTCTTGGACACTATGCTCGGGATACTTTCTGTCTCCTACCAGAATTCAGAGTATCTAACTACGTAGTAAGATATATCGACATCGAAGCGCCGTCCCTGCATTAGTAGTAGTAGATTAGTAGCCCCCGGGCCTGCCTCGGTGCCCGAAATAGCAGCAAATGCATTGCCAGAACGCAATCCTTGGCCATCCGGGCCACTCCACTAAACTTTTATGTAGCCGCCTGCCACTGGCGCTGCAGAGGGCAGGTTAAAAGCTTGTCTACGGCATCCCATACTGCCCCGCAACTGAAGACAAGCTAGCACCCACTAGTAGGTATCAGCACCTCATCTCGGATGCTCCAAATGAAAACAAGCCCCTAAGTAAGAGAATGCCTCTGAAATTGGGTCTCGCAAGGTACTCGCCCATGGTCGAATGGGAGGCAGGTTGGATGGAGTGGCATGAACTGGCCATATGACGTTTCCAGTTCCACCTCTCCAGCGTCTCCAAACCAATTCGATAGGACCATCCAGGTCTGGAGCTACTTGAAGCGTATGGTCTCCATAATTAGTTGGGCAATGGACATGAGCCAAAAGACGGCGCGAACACAGCCTAAGGCGCGGCTTTTGAAGATGCTGCTGCTTGATCTCGAATAGTTTTCTTGTTCCCAATCATTGCGATTGCAACACTTTTTCAGCAAACTGGTTTCCACGATGAAACACATGAAGAGGACCAAACCGGCCACGGAAACCAAGAGAGATGAGCCTATGTCAAAAGCCTTGCCCAGATCATCGTTTGAGCCGGATTTGGCGAAATAGTTTAAGCGAGGCTCGGTTGAATTCGTGATGGTGGAATCTGGCTCCGTCCATCGGTCAGATCTCGTGAAATTAGCAAGGTCGCCCGTCAAGCTGGCCGCGCCTGGGCATTGTGGGAAGCACGCTGCAGGCAGGACAAGACCGGTACTGATCCTGTTCCCAGACGGCATTTCATGTGGTCTGAACATGGGGAATATATTGGTCTGCAGGACTTTTTTGTAGTGAAGAATGATCGTGAGCACCAGAGTTCCTAGGGTAAAACCAAGTTGGGCACCACCGCGGAGTCTTGAATCAGTGTGCTCGTAGGTTATCAGAGCGGTGGTGAAGTAGGATGAGCTTGCAATCAGACAGAGGTAGCATACTAGGTTGTAGTGGTACGCCGAAATCGTGCATTTCATGACCGTTAATGTGGGGATAGCGAGAGCCAGACTGGTAATCACTTGAGCCAGAGTCAGAACTGCTGAGACTTTGCATAGCTTTTCTCGGATGCGTGGGATGCTTTCCTGCCTTTAAACCCAACATTGTCAGTTGATCATCTTCAGTAACATTGAAGGATTTTCTCAGTTCTACCATTTTTCAAACATGGAGGCTTGAGGAAAATGGTCAAAAATTAGTATGGCGAAATTGATAGCCAGTGCAAGAGCTGCCATGGTAACGCATGCAGCGAATGCCTAGTAGAAACAATCAACACAGCCGAAAGATATATAGCTGTTTCCAAGACGTACCCCGACACCCCACTAGAGCCTTCAGACGGTAATGATAACGGCAATCCGCATGTGATATTCTTAGCGTTAACACAATCTATGGTATCCATAGGGACTGAAAGCTTCCGCGGGATTCAAATGATACCAGAGCGTCCAATACAAGTTGCTGTAGAAATGAATTGCGTTGTAAAAGGGGGAAGACTCAAAGGTGAGAACCAAGAAACGCGAAGAATGCAAAGCTCGAGAAAGCATCGAATCTTTTCGAGCACTGTAGTAGCTTAATCCTCCAACTGACCATCAATTTGAATATAAAGGCAAACAAAAATAGTCAAGAGAGAACAGGCTAAGCCCAAGTCTGCATGACCCTTTCAAAGACATATTTGGGCCCAAACAATTTGATTATTTGCTGGTCTGGTTCCACGAAATAGGTGCTCTAACGCACAGTTGATTCAGCAGCCTTGGCAGATTTTGAATAGACACCTTCCAATACTTAACAGTAATTCAGTCATAGAACCTTCTTTTCCTCAACCGATCCATTATCACAGAATCACCAGTACCTGTCGTCGATATTGCAATGTGTCCGACACTCTCGCTTGGCTTAACGTCGCCAATCCGTACAGTCAAGTTCTGCAAATCCCGAGACCTGTCATTGTCATCGAGGTACGAGCCCTTGGAGATGCTTGGACAGTACCGGTTGTCCCGGATCACGGTTGATATATTCATCGCAAGCCTCGGACCTGAAGACATCATGATGATGGCCAGTCCACAGACAGCAGCGGCAAATGCGATCAGCGTGACCAGCATGAATATTGTTAGCCAAACCACGGAGCATTGCAACACGTCTTCTGTTGTGTTGATTGTAGCGAGTACGGTGCTGGTCAAACTGGTCTTGTATTTGGGGTCAAATTGTTGAGAACTTGTTGCACTGAGATTGAAGTCTCCATTCGTGCCCATCACTAGCTGACTGCCGATGGACACGAGCCAGTACGTATTCATAATTTGTGTGAAACGTGAAGTGATTAGTTTGTCATCAATTTTTTGAAGGTCTGGTGCCTCACCTAAATGCCCGGGGCTGTTGGAACTGAAGGGGGTGTTTGGGTTGTCAATGTATCCAATCATTGCATTTGAGCCCCCTCCTCCATTTTGCCTCCCTGCGATAGAATTTGCGAAATTGTTGAAGAAGAGGCTTGGGACAGTGTAGCTGATAGCACTTGTTCCTGTCCATATATCGAGCATGGTCCAGTTGCTCTGCAGATGATGGACTTTAGACTCTCTGATACGATTTGGGACACATATCCCGTCAGAACAGAAAATCTCCGTCTCCACATACACAGTTCTGATCTGGCATTCGGAGAGAAGTTCCGGATATGCACCCTGAAGTTTGATACCGATTCTCCGAACACCGAGCTCTGGGCAATCAATAACGCTGGTTCTGGAGAGAAAATTATCCGCATTGCAAGCATCTGTGGCGCGATTTCCCGCGGTGAGGGAGTCGTTATAGTAAACTATAAAAGGTGGATAAAGAAAGTTCTTTGATCGACCATTGTTCACAAGGCTGTCCCACTGAAAGGATTCAAATGTCGGAACGATGGTTGAATTGACAAGCTGCCGAGGATTAGGCTGCCAAGGACTGCACTCCAGATCCCAGTACCATGACTCCAAGGAAAGATTTATGGACCGGTGGTCCATTTTTGGCAGAGAGACGATGGGAATGCCGATAAGCGAGGAAAAATCATCTGTGCTGTTTGCGGTGACTTGATACCAGCCATCGGGATCAGCTCGGCCCGACGACATACGGGAAAGCTGTGGAATCTTGACATGATTCCACAAATCCTGAGGTGCAGCCTTGAGGCCGATGGGACTGATGAGAGCTGCATTTAGTAGTGTATTTGGGGCTATCAAGGCTAGCTGGCCATCTGAAGTGCCCCCCCTTAAGTCGCTCCAGTTGCTCACGTTTAGGTAATGCAAGGGAAGACTCGTCGTGGTTGTATTAGTGCCAATAGTTAAGATGCGTAATACTGCTTGACTGCTAAGTGGTGAAAGCAACCAGAGCATAACAAGTGCGATACCGATAGTATTCAGAGCAATTGATCGTTTGAGTCCAGCCGAAAGTTGAGTCATGAGAGTGCTCGACACCGACGTGCTTCCAATCAGCTGGTCTAGCAAGCCGACCTTGCTGCCTCTTTCAAGCTGCCAAAGAGCAAAGGATCTTAGCAAACGGCCGAAGGTTGCTGCAAAAATAATGGAAAAGAGGGTCGAAAACTATCTGATATTAGTTGAAACATACTGGATATACATAGGCTGCAGCTCACGATCCTGGCCGTGTTCAGTAGATAGTCTGCTGAAAATCCAAGGTCCTTTACAAGGGTGCCATTAAAAGTACCACAGTGTGGCAGCGTAGGCTGACATGCCAGCCCAAGACAAGATTCCGAAGATGTCAACGCAGATATTGAGTAGGATGTCATGGGCTGGACGCTGCAGTGTTTTTGGAGCCTCATTGAGCAAGTCTCTTTGTTCAATAGAGATATTGCGATTTTCATCGATATCATCATCTGGTTTAACATTATGTTCGCTAATAACTTTAGAAGCCATCTAGTGCAGGGTGTGACAATGGTACTGAAATAAAAGATACGTTTAAGGCTTGAAGAGTACTAAAGGTTTGAAAAAGAAAAGAGGGAAGATATCAACAACAAAAGCCTAGAACGGGCATCTCAAGGAGGAAAGATAATAAGACAGTCCATCCTGCACAGTCCTCAACATGGAGCCTCACTGTCAATATCGGCTTTGCAGATACGAGAATTCCGGCCCCCGCGCACAGCATACCGCAGCCTGGGTACCAACCTATGCCAGTGAGGCTGGATGAAATATGAGCCTGGGTGTAGGACAAGCCTGGCCAAGAAGGTGCAGGTGCAGATATATAAGATGATTGAGGATTCTATCCATCAATCAGGTCCTTTTGCCGCCTGCATAGCACAAGCTGGGACTAAACCGAAAGGGGCAACGCACCAGCACCGATTCAACTACGAAAGTACGTAGCCGCCTGCCACTGGCGCTGCAAGGCGGGTTAAAGTTTAGAGCTTGTCTACGGCATCCCATTCGTACTACGTATTGATGCCCGGCAACCAAACCACTAACCGCCAGGCTAGCATGTACTTATCAGCACCTCGCAAGCGCCTGCCCCTCCAATTGCGCCCTGCTGATTGCTCCATCCCTCGCCCGGGCGCTTGCATGCATGCTGCCCATCGGAGCCCGGGGGCGGGGAGTTTCGAAATAGAATGAATCAATGAGCCAATGAACGAATCGTCACTGGTCAGCGTGTGCGGCGGGCGACCCGGTTCAGCGCTCTCCGTGCTTCCTCTTGCCGCTTGGGGGTCGATATCCACATCCACATCCCACATCTACATCCCAGATGGACTGGGGGGGGATGGGGTATGGGTACGGATAAGGATATGCGGGCGTGATGATGGGGATATAGTAATGATATTCTAGCCATCTGCTTCGTTTTCGTTTTCGATTTCTTCTTCCCCTATTCTGATCCCTCTGCGCGCTGGGTTTCGTGTTGTGTTGTTGTGTTTTTTTTTTCTTGCCGATCGCCGTTTCGATTCTGTTCGTCCATCAACGTCCTCCCTGACAGTGACCCATTCATTCCAGCTTCCTCCATCACTTAACAATATATTCTACACCAGCGACAAAGATGGGCCGCTCCTCCGCGCACATCTCTGCCTCGGCAACGCAAATCTACCCACCCCCTCCCACCTCCCCATCAAAATCCCCACCCCATACTTCTTCTTCTTCTACCTCCTCCTCCCACACAACGACAGCCTCAGGCTCCAATCTAAACACCCTCTCGCCAGC